TTATTAAATTTAATAAGATAATTGCTAATATATTTAAGCTTAAAGTCAAGAAAACTTTTACTTAGAAAAAATTTGTCCTTTTTCTATTAACTCCTTTCCATTTTGTATAAATTTTTAATATATTAAATATTTATAAATATATTAATTTTTTTGTAAGAAATTCTTAATACCCACAGTTCATTTGAATTTACTAAATCAGAAAATAAAGATAATGACAAAGATCAAGCAGCAGCAGCAGCAGCAGTAGCAGCAGTAGCAGCACTACTAGCAGTAGCAGCAACAGCAACAGCAGCAACAGCAGTAGTAGTGACAAAAGCAATGTAAAAAAAAAACAAAAAATGCCAGAACTATCCAAAAAAGAAGATGATTCTACAACACCAACAACAACTACAACAGCAACAACAACAACAGCAACACCAATAGTAGCAATATCAAGAGCAGCAGCACCAACAGCAGCAACAACAACAGCAGCAACACCAAGAGTAGCAGCACTAACAGCAGTAACACCAATAGCAGCAACACTAAGAGCAGTATTACCAACAGAAGCAATACTAACAGACACTCAAAAAGTAACTAGAGTAATTATTATAATTTATTAATATGATAAATATTTAATTTTATAACTAATTAAGTCATATACAAATTTTATAGTCTACTAAAAATCGTAATACTCCGAAAAAAGCCAACGTTTAAAAAAAACCAAGTAAATTTGCTATAAATATTTTAAATTATATATTAATTTTAATAATAAAATATACATTTATGTTTATTAACTTTATTTATTTATCTAACTATAAAAATCCTAAGCTGTCATCAAGATGTAATTCTTGGGAAATTTCTGAAAGATCTCAAAAAAGACAAAAAGTGGTAGCTTCAATTATATTGAGTAAATCTTTTGAAAAACCTGCAAATAAAAAAGATGAAGATGATGAAGACAATGATCTTTATATGTAAAAAAAAAAATTTATAAAATATTTTATAATCATGTTTTATGAAAATTTAAATATATAAAATAGTTTACAATATATCTAATTTATATATATATAAGTGTAGTTTCAAGAACATGTAACCTAATGATATATTCATAGTTATCTCATCATATGATTAAGTGTTTGACCTACATTAGAGTTAGTGCTGGATTAGGTGATAGGTTAGTTTAGGTTAATTTGTTTAGTACTAGTAAATAAATGATGTTATTTAAAGTGTCCTGTATAAAATTTATAATAAATATATAAACAAAGATCATTATTTTTCACAATTTACAACTCTACGAAAATTTTTGAAAAAATAAAAACTTTTACTTCAGACTTTGTATTAATAAAATATTTGTTTAAGTATTTACTTTTTTACTTATATATTTCAGTATTTTTATTTAGTTTTTAATATATGAAAATTTTTAAAACACTTTAAATATTAACATTAAACTTTTTTAAAGCAAAGAAAAGTTTTTTGTTTGTTTTCTTACTAAAACTTTTTATTAGTTCTTATATATTATACTAGCTTAGGTTCTTAACATGTTATTTTGTAAATATGATATAATTTTAAGTTTATTGTAGAAAGTTAATATACTCTATAACTTGGTGAATTTACAGTGTTCAAAATATGCTTTAATCAGATTTTTAATTTTACTATGTAGAATTTTACTTTCTTCGAATCCTACATAGAGTACAAAAATCCTTTGACAACTTTTAAATAAAAAGCTAAGAAATATTAAATTTTTTAAATTTTTAATAATATATGGTAAATTTTAATTACTAATATATTATTTTTATATATAGAGCATATTTAGACTTGATTGTTACTTATTAAAGTAGTATGATTTTTTTTATGTATTAATTGTTTAACTTTCTTTTTTTTTTGAACATATTTTGACTATTTTTTGTAGCCTGAAAATATTGTGTAATTCTACAAAATATTTTGGTAATTTTTTTATTTTTTAATTATTTATATATTATTAACTATAGTACTAGTATTTTTTATATCGTTGTGGTTACTTAGGACTTTTGCTTTAAGCTTTTTCAATTTTCATTTATTTTGGTTTAACATTACTTTTAAACAACTTATTTTAGCTATTTTGTAGCTTCAAAAATATTTCGTAATTCTACAAAATATTATTAATTTTCTTAAAAACCTCAATTATTAATAGATTACAAGTATATTATTGAAGTTTTTGTTATTTTTTATTTATTTGTATATTAATTATATTTGTCAATTTATTTAATATTCCATGGATACCTTAGAACTTTTTGCTTTATCTTTGATTAATTTTTAATGGACCAGTCTTTGTGTTTTTTGCAAAAATCAAGCTGTATTTTTTGATAACTAGCACTTAGAAAGAGCTTTTTCATTTGATCCCTAACACCAAACCATGCTTCTGGTATATATAATATATAGTAGAAGCTAAAACTTCTAGATTTTTTTTTTCTTTTAGGTAGAAAACTACCTGTATAATAATAAAGCAGTGTTAAGAGGTAATTAAGTTAACAATATTTTTTTGGTTGGTTTATCTACCTTTGGTGAGTAATCAACTCTTTCTAAATTTTCAAATATGTAGTTCTTAAATTTTTTTTTTGATATAGAAGATAGTAAAGAAGTTAATATAGCAAGCCTAGCTTATGGCCCTTGTTATATATTTTTTTGCAGTAAAAGTAATATTTGAGCTCTTTAGACTAAAGTTGTATGATTTTTTTTTTTTGATTTGATTATCAATTAATTCTAACATTGTACAAGATACAAAATCAGACAAAAAAAAGTTATTTTTATGTCAAATTTTAGATGAAGACCTATCTCCATAGCAACCCTACATGTAGTAGCCAATCATATTTTAGAATTATTACAATTTTTTTTTATATGTTTTTTATTTTTTATTATAAAATTTAACAATTTTTAGCTAATTTTAATTGGCTAATAGTAAACAACTTACTATATAGCTATTTGCTTAATTTTGATTGGCTATTCATATAAAATCACTATGGTAACCCATCGCTATAAACTAACACCTTATTTTTGTATATATATTATATAGTATAGTATAAGCTATTTGATCTTTAGTAAAAACAAGCAAAAATAATATGTTATATATTTTTGTAATATGCATATAATTATTTACATATAGTTGTTACACCCCAGATGGCAAGTTTAGAGTTCAAATTCCATAAACAACGATTTTGAAAAAACTAGATCTGTATCAGTTAATATTAAGATTATTAGTTGGATCCAGATATCTATAATCTTGGTCATACTATCTCAAATGGAAGCTTTGGTGCAATAAATCCAGAAAACTAAAATTACTAAAAACCTATTTAACAAGTCCCGAGTGTAGAGTAGCAGTAATCTTTGACAGTGCTACAGAAAAGCCAAATTTGAAACTGAGAACTGAGACTGGAGAACTGAACAACCAGATCCTTAAGTGAAGAGATATACTAGCTAAACCACCAGACTGCTAACAAGAGAAAAAGAATATATACTCCAAAAGCATGTACCAAGAAGAGGGCACCTAAAGCCTAAGCAGACCAACTCTTCCAGATTGCTAGCTAGAAGTAAGAGAAGGGCTAGTAAAGAATTTAGAAGAAAAAAAAAAGCTAGAACGTGGATACCAGAGTTGTTGTAAATCTCATAAAAGCAAGAAGTATGTAATAAGATTCTAATTAGAAAGGTTGTAGCTTAAGATACAGATTGGGTTATGGCAGTATCTAAAAGATAGCTTAAGATACGAACCTGATGATGGCAGCACAACAGGTACTAATTAGATGAAGTTACCAGAACATGCAAATAAATATATAGGTAAGACATATACCATTCTGTTAGGTTTACTACAAGGATAAATGCCTCAATATAGTTTGGCTAAAGTTCTAGGGTTTTTAACAGTAAATTATTCTAAAAAGATATATTAGGAGGAACATAGTATAGGTGTTAAAGCCAAAGAGTTTAAATAGATAGCTTCTTAGTTAGACTATAGATATAGTAGCTAGTATAGAACCTTTAGCAGACTATTTAAATTAGACAACCAAAAGTTGTATATATAGCTAGTTGTACTCTTGTAATACTACTATAACATATTACTAAGATCTTTGAATTATGCAATACCCACTTGTACTAATAAAGTACCAAGAGCCTAAGTGGTCACCTTAATATTAAAAAAAATAATAATAATTATTTATATATTGGTAAAAGAATTTTGCTATTTATTACCACTAGTGATTATTACTAGTATTGCTATATTTCAAAAATATATTAAGTAAACAAGATCAGATATTCTAAGTAAAAATGTTCAGAACCTCCAAAAACCTTACTAAAACTAAAATCAAATAATTGTTTGTTTTTACAAGTTTTTTTTTATTTATTTATTATTTTTTAAAAATAATAATAGTTTGTAAATCTTAAAAATCAAATATTTCTAATTCATTTGTTCTAAATATCTTGAAATAATATTCTTTCTAAAATTATCTCTTAGAATTTAATTTGCTGATTTTAATTTTTGCTTTTTTTCAAGATTCACTAATTTAATTAAATAAATCTTTGCTTTATATTGTTTTAAAGCTAGCATATATTCTTTTGGTACTAATTGTATATTCAAGTATATTAATTGTTTAGCTTTTTTTATAATTATTTTCACTTAAATCTTCAAAATCAACAATAATTACTTCTATTTTTTAAGTTTTGTGAATTTTTTTTTGCTTATTTTTAGCTAATTTTTTTTGAATTTTCATTATTAATTTAATAAATATAAATAAATATTCTTTTTTTTTTTTTGTTATTAAGGTAAGGTCTTGCTTATATCTTTATTAATTAATTTATATAAATAGTTATATAGAAGCTATATAAAGACTTAATTTGTACAGAGACAAATAAATATAAATTATATACAAGAATAAGAGCTCGAATTAAAAGCTCAAACTAAAAGCTTAAACTAGTTATCTGCGACCTAAACCTACTAGAGTAGTCAAGACTCACCTAGGTTTAAATTGTTAGAATATAGTTAATAGGTGTATGGTGTTTGGTTTACAGAGTAGACTATGTATTGAACTTGAGGGTAGCTTGTTTCAAGGAGAGGCAAGTATTAGATTCAGAGTATAGTTGGTTAGCAAAGCCACAAGGGCAATTAAAAGAATAGTTAGCTTTGTTTTTTTTATTGCATCACCAAAAAAAACTATACATAAACCTTCATAAGTAATTATACAACATAAATTTATGAAAAGCTTATGATTACTTCGAAAGATTACATTAAGTGTAAGTTTATAAAAGTTTATACTATAGCAATGTCAGAGTATTATATAGAGTAATAATTATGAAAATTTATGATATAGTAAATTCAAAATATAGTAATATATAATGTGTTGAAAATTTGTGAAAACTTGCGAAAGTAAGCATAAAACTATAAGATATTATGACCAACAAACTTTGAAAACTTACAAAACTTGTAGAAATGTATATAAAGCTATATGATATTATGAATAACAAAACTTCGAAAATATATAAAAATATATATGGGCTAGGTGCTGAGAAAAGGGACCAAATTGACTATTTTTTCAAAAAAAAATTTTTTTACATAAATTTGATTTATTAATTCTCAGAACATGATAATTTTAAATAATTCTATTAGGCTGTGTTTTAATTTTATAAAATATTTGTATCATTTTGAAAATTTTTGTAATTTTTTAAAATTGTTCTATATGGGTTTGAAGAACTAAATTATTAACTTTGTATGTTATAATATTTAAACTTTTTTTTGTATATTAATTATATTTAATTATTATTAAGCTTCTTAAAACTGTGAGATCCAAACATGAAACTCTGACTACAAAAATAAAAGAGGCTGTTTTTGCTGTTTTCAGTAACAGCATACTCGACCCGATCAACATGAATTCAGTTTCAGAGGAATTGCTTGCCTGGAAAAAGTCAGCCAGAACTAAAGCTTGCTAAAAAAGCTTTTCAAGCCCATAGTAGCAACAGAA